ACGTGTTGATGTGTATTTTTCGAGTTGGTGCATTCGTGCAGGTATCTAACTTTCCAGCTATAGTTTCCTTTACAGTTAATGCTAGGATTGCTGGCCAAACTGCCAGATTTGTTAAATTTATGTGTTACAAAGTTAATGGTAACCCCTTAAAGGATAGTACAAGAAACTGAAGAAGGTTTGACATAATATAATTCTACATGATGGAAAATGACTTGTTCATCTGCAATTCCATACATAACCTTTCTCATAAAAACCAAATGGTTGAGAAATTGAGACTATTTTCCCTGAATCATAATAAAAAATAAAAAGTGCACGAAAAGATAGTCTTGCGGACTGATACCCGCATCGGCCACTAACGTGCGTTTGTTTCTGGTGAATCAGTTGAATCGAAGAGAGATGGCCAATTGACTGCATGTGAAGTTCTACTTTTCCATCATGAAGACATGGGTATACCTTGGGAAATTGCGAAACTTGGTATCAGGCAAGGTATGTGGGGGGCTGTGAAGAAGATTGATCCAGGGTTGCGTGCCTACCAGAAGTACAGAGCATCCGGAGCTCCACTTTCACACTGTGCTTCCATGGCTGAGATTAACACTAAAGTGAGTCCCGACACCCTTGACTTCTTGGGGAGCACAAGCACTTCTTCAGAAGTCGAAGCTCTTGATTCAGCAAGCAATCCATCAGGAAGAAATATACCAAAGTTCCTAATTGTCGGTGGAGCCATTGCCCTTGCTTGTAGTCTTGATCGAGGGCTCTTGACCAAGGCTGTTATATTTGGAGTTGCCAGAAGGTTTGCTAATATTGGTAGAAGGTTGTAATATTCGGAAATAAGGAGCATCGACCCAATGATGCCATCCTGGTTGGCTTGTCCTTCCAGGCGAGCAAGGAATGTGAGGCTTTAGTCACTGCACTCCTCTGTAGAAGGAAAAATGTATTCTTTTATCTTTTATTTGAGCCTCAAGGCAGCCAGTTATAGATCAAGAAAAGATAAAAATGTTGGCATTCATTGAAAATTGGAAATTTCATGCTGATTTACTTTTCCCCTTGTCTTTCCTGGTATTTTTTCAGTCGTTTTGTATGTGAATCAAAATTATCTGACCTCAGAAGTGGATTTATTACATTGTTCTAGTAAAATGCTGTCACAGATTATTTGAGACCTAAACCGGCCACCCGTTTTGTTGCATGACAAGAAAATTTACATGCTGAAGATTTTTTCCGAACTTTATTAAATAATATAGCAGTGATTTTACTGTCACGTTGACTCACGATCATCTCTTTAAAACGATTTCTCGTATCTAGTGCAGCATCTGGGCGTTGAAATTTGTAAGAACTGCGGCTGCCAAATAATGAGGAATTGTTCACTGTACATTTTACACACTGAATCTGTCTTTTAGTGCAATGGAAAGACGCAAGGCTGCTTGAGCCTTCAAGTCCTTATTTGGCAGATTATCACATTAGATTTTTAACAAATTTTGATAAATGTTGATGAAATGTATGGTTGGAAAGTTGTGAATTCTATAAAATGTATGGTTAAAATTAATTTTTTACTTTGACGTAGATTAAAATCTAAGGTGAAAAGCTGGATTTTGACGTTGAGCCTAAGCCACTGAAATCAGCTCCAATTTAGTCACTAGTTTTACTAATGTGTTTCACGTTATACATCACTACTATATTAAAAGAGGGGNAATATTGGTAGAAGGTTGTAATATTGGGAAATAAGCATCGACCCAATGATGCCATCCTTGTTGGCTTGTCCTGTCAGGCGAGCAAGGAATGTGAGGCTTTAATCCCTGCACTCCTCTGTAGAAGGAAAAATGTATTCTTTTATCTTTTATTTGAGCCTCAAGGCAGCCAGTTATAGATCAAGAAAAGATAAAAATGTTGGCATTCATTGAAAATTGGAAATTTCATGCTGATTTACTTTACCCCTTGTCTTTCCTGGTATTTTTCAGTCGTTTTGGATGTGAATCAAAATTATCTGAACTGAGAAGTGGATTTATTACATTGTTCAAGTAAAATGCTGTCACAGATTATTTGAGAAAAAAACCGGCCACCCGTTTTGTTGCATGACAACAAAATTTACATGCTGAAGATTTTTTCCGAACTTTATTAAATAATATAGCAGTGATTTTACTGTCACATCGACCCACGATCATCTAGACTTTAGATGAATGACGTTATATTTAGATGCTGACGAATTCTCGTATCTAGTGCAGCATCTGGGCGTTGAAATTTGCATGAACTGCGGCTGCTAAATAATTAGGAATTGTTCACTGTACATCTTACACATGAATCTGTCCCTTAGTGCAATGGAAAGACGCAAGGCTGCTTGAGCCTTCAAGTCCTTATTTGGCAGATTATCAAATTAAATTTTTAACAAATTTTGATAAAAGTTGATGAAATGTATGGTTGGAATGTTGTGAATTCTATAAAATGTATGATTAAAATCAATTTTTTACTTTGACTTAGATTAAAATCTAAGGTGAAAAGCTGGATTTTGACGTTGAGCCTAAGCCACTGAAATCAGCTCCAATTTAGTCACTAGTTTTACTAATGTGTTTCACGTTATACATTACAATAGAAGTATGTATATTTCAAATTTTGTTTATATTTTTATTCCCTTTTTAACATATTTGGGATATTATGTAGGTTAAAATGGGTTAAGTGGTCATTAAAAGTAGCAATTTTGGGATATAATATATTTAAAGACTGTAATGCTAACATAT